GATCGGTGCCAGCTGAGAACATTTGCTCAAGTTGCAGATGCAGTTCCAGCCCAGACTGGGAACGGCACCCATGAAGATGGAGATGGCCCACACCAGCACGATGAGCAGGGTCACCCTCCTCTTCGTCAGGTTGCTGTGGACTTTCCAGTTCATGACAGAGATGTAGCGCTCCAGAGCTATGACCAGCAGGTTGGCCAGGGAGGCCGAGAGGCTGATGTCCAGCAGACCTTGACGGAAAAAGTATCCTTTGACCGTGAGCGTCCGTGACACCTCTCCCGTGTTGAACATGAGGTACACGTAGGCTATCCCCGCCAGGAAGTCTGAGGCTGCCAGGTTGGACAGAAGGTAGTAAAAAGGGTAATGGAAGCGTTTGTTGGTGATGACGGCAGCTACCACCATGGCATTGGAGACCAGGATGAAACAGCAGAACAGGGAGCCCACCACCTGCACCAGGATGAGCTGTGTTTTGTCCCACTTGTCTTCGGCACCGATGTTGGTGTAGAAGAAGCCCATGGACTCGTTGTAGTGGCAGCTTTGGTTCTGATCGTCCATTTTAAAGGCAAATTTCTGAAAGAATAAAAGGAAGAAACAAAAGTGTGTTAAATATATTTAGTTGGTCTTATATCTAACACCTAGCTATAAAAACAAAAAAAAAAACAACTGTGCTCTCTCTTGGGGCTAAATGAGGTCAAACAGAATCCAGTTTTGTCTCTTTAAAATTCAACATTCAAAAGAGCTTCAGTTTGACTGTAAACAACAAACAAACAATGAAAAGGAGCCGTTTGGGTTAACAGTAGGAGTTAAAAGAGAGTTATACTGTAAATATATATATTTTTTAATATTTAGTGTGCGATTATTTAATAATATAATTATTTGGAGTTAAAAGAGAGTTATACTGTAAATAAAATTTTAAAAAAATATATTTAGTGTGGACTATATGCAACACAAATATAAACAAGAGTCAGAGCAGGGGGCAAAATTAAAAATTAAAAAATAAAAATTAAATGCACAAGTTGTTTCAACATCTATGAAAGTAAATTTTAATCTAAAAAAATGTTCTTTCGCAGCTGTAACAGAAATGATTTCTTCCACAGATTTTTGTGAACACAACAGAACCAGGTGACATTCCAACTGTTGCTCCTTCCTGTTCAACACCGTTTATACCTGTCAAAAACACACCGTATCTCAGGAGGAGAAGTGCAAAGTCTCAGACGTTGAAAGTCCAGCATCGTCACCTCTCTGTCTGCTGGACAAATTCAGCAACAAATTTCGTATTTATCTAAACAAAAACCTGTTTCAATCTGAGCTGTAATCTGTCACTAATCCAGACTAAGACAAAGACACAGTTCTATCACTGAACTGGTTCGTACACACGCCACCGTCCAAGTACTGAGAGGTAAAATAACCCCAACAATGAAGAAAAAAAAAAAAAAAAGGTTCATTGTGTGGCATACAAATAATAAAGAACTTGGTGTCAGATGACAAGTGACGACACACACCTGTGCTTTAACGCTGCACTTCATAGTAAAAACTCTTAAAAGTCTAAAGTGCACTTTCGTAATTTCGTCGTTTATTGCGTAACTTTACTTCAGCGTCTCGCGTGAACTACCGCGCTTTAGTGAAACAAATACTAGGGAAATTAATTTTAAAAAATTGTAAAAAAAAAAAAATACTGTAACCAGGCGAATATGGGAATAAATCCGTCCGTGAGCAGCGCTGAAGGAACAGGGAATCGATAAGAAGCAGGTGAGTTTACCTGCGACTGCGGTGCGTCACTTCAGCAGAGCCGGGCTGGGGAGACGATCCTCGAACAGATGAAGAACATGTTGGTGTGGACGGAATTGTACGACGGGAGAAGGAGAAGGAGAAGGAGTGGAGGCAGGAAGAGTGTGGAGAGGAGAGGAGTCAAGTCACTGAGTGAGTAAGAGAGTAAGAGAGTAAGAGAGTGAGAGAGAGAGAGAGGAGAGTCTCTGCTCGGTGACGCGCAGGGCGTGGAGGTTTGTTGTGCCTCCACCCGCTCCTTCACATTTCTTGATCATTCCTTCACTCCTGCTGCACCAAATCTGAGGCTCCCGGCCTGTCACCGTGACGTTACTGCTGTTTCATTCACAAACAACTGTCATCAGAGAGTGAAAATGTACACGTTGGCAGGAGTGCAGAGAAAGAACAACACCATCTTCAAACTGTCTCTGACTCCAACTACAAAAAGTACTGCACATATATTTGATTTTATATTTGACACTAGACATGGTACATGTACGTGTATGTGTCTCACCTCTGTGGTGATTTATCCAGACCTGGGGACACACAGAATGACAAGAATTAGTAATAAAACCTTAACATTTGAAATATTTCTCAAATTATTTTTTAGTTATTTGAGAACAAAAGAAAATGAATATGACAATATTTAATAATACGAATATTTTTCACTCTCTTTATCTCTTTTCTGCCATTAAGAAAAACAATTTGTTATTTTGCATTAAATATTGAGCTGTTTTAACAATGCACTTTGTTATATTTTGTCTTTCTTTGAGACATGCAAAATACAAAAAAAAAATATATAAATATACAAGTGAGTATCTTATCAAACAATAATCCATCATTTTTAATAGAAATGTATTCAAACAAAAATCTACCAAAACACCCTGAGACTTTAAATCTTCTTCTCCCAGTTCTGTTTATTTCTAAACATCACCATCATTTCCATCTCAGTCCGGCTGTCGTGGACTTCACCTGTGGTGACCCCTGATAAAGGTCAACCCAAAGGTGATTGATTTTGGTTTTCTCCACTCCTAAAAGGAACACCTGTCTGTGTCGAACCAAACAAACACACAGATTATTTGAAAGGACTTTTTTTTTTGGAGATGATGAAACAAGGATCTGGTATCTGTTTAGACTTGAACTCAAATCTCACCAGAACCTGAAATATAACCAACACGAGGGTCGTGTCACCACACGGGTACTGATCTTATCAGGTGTTTTAACACTTCTGCTGAAATTGGATGAGCGATCTTTTGGCAGATGTTACATAGCCCAGAGGCAGCCTAGTGGACGGTGTTGGAACTCTTTTTATAGAAGAACTTCATGCTGGATTCTTTTGAGGTTTATGCACAACACGTTTCCTTGATTTGTATCTGGTTCAAAGCATAGAAGTCACACTGTGAGGTCATGCTGCAGCACGTTTCAACGTCTTCATGTGTTGGTAGACGTGATGATGATCATCATGATAAAGCTGAGTCACAGTACGGTCCTGGTGAAGTCATTTAAAAATTCCTCTCTTTCCCAATACTTTACCAGCACACCTGTAAAGCAGGAACCGTCAGAGAAACACAACACCAAAAAAGCAAATAAAACATTACGTTTATAAATTATTCTATGGTGAATTTATTTATTAATTTTTTTTTTTAGAAAATCTCTGCATAGTTCGGCTTCTTTTAAATAAACACAGTGATACATACAGTAGACATAAAAAAGATGAGCGATGACACACGTACAATTACTCACTTTGGCTTAAGTTCAACTCACACACCAGACCCTGAAAAATGAATGACAAAGACTGCAGCAAATAGGAAACCAATGCAAAAAAAAAAAAAAAAAAAAGCCAAAGAAACCTCCAATAGAAATGTTGAACTAATACACAGCACCCCCTCTGGTAGCAGAGCTCAATAGCATGAGCCCCTCAGGCAGAAGGAACTCCTCTGGTATTTCATAAGGTTTAACAACCACGTCATTTATGGTCTGTATCAGTCAGGACTCCCAGCATCCTTTTCATCCAACTCGGAGGCGTGAAGCTTCTCAGCTGATCAGCATGATGTCATCATTTTCAGGAACTCTACAAAGACACGATCACAAATTATAAACAAATTATAGACACAACTTTGTCTCATTTCCACTCTTTATCAAAAGCCAACGTCTACTGAGAATGTGGAAAAGTTATGTGTTGAATTATGTTATGGCAACGTTTTAGTTGGTCATAAATCAACTGACAACTTGAGACATGAAACAAAGAAATAGATTCAATTTAATTAATTTAACTCGAAATTAATCTGAATTTGAGTCATTTTAAGGTCTGCAGTCATTTGTTGAACCTGTTTTTTAAATAAGTGATACCTGGTAGATTCTGATCAATCAACTGTCTGAAGACTCACAGCAATTGATTAATTAAGTCAAGTCAGTTGTGCTGCTGCTGCTGATTGGTTGGCCACAGCGGCCCTTTCTGGACCTAACTGTCCCCCATTATACATTATAAAACAGTCAGAGTATGTATTATTTTATAGACATTAAATCGATTAGATTGGACCCTTACTTTCATGTGAACGTGTGAAAACATTTTTAGCTGAATTTCTTGAATCCCATTTTCACATATTGTGTAGAAATGTCCCCAAAATACAATTAAACCAGAGTCCAAGTGTAGAGAGTGTGTTTACAGATTTTGGTCATTATTCATTTTTATTGTATTTGCGCCACTTTACTCATCTTAATGCGTTCTGTGTCCATTTCCTTCACAAACTACAGCAGATCGACGTCTTCTACGACGACCTGATTGGACGCAGATGTAATTTCATCCAGTCTGACAGTGAAATGCTTCAGCCCAGCACTAATGTAATTTTTGTGTGAACTAAACGAGACATTTAAACTCATAACAATGTGATTATATTCAGGAAAGACTAGAAACGGCTGCAGTTACACACACACACACACACACTTTAACTTCACCACCACCGTCATCAGAGCAGAGAGCCCAGTACATATTCAGACAGCACTCTGGTACCAGTCCACAGAACAACATAATGGTTCTGAAAGTGAGACTCCACTTCCTGAAACACTCACAGTCGTCCAGAGCAGGAACCCTGGACGACTCTGGTGGTGATAACATCACACATGACACGTGCACGAAAAACCCAGCGAGTTCAAAGGCTAATGTCTGCTAATGGAGGAGACCTGAAACCAGAAGGAGTCACGTGACACAGGCCCAAAACGATGACGTAAACGTAAACTTTTAAGATGAAATAAAGATGGTCCGTTTTCTCTTCATTCATAAATGATTTTTAGTTTAATTCTAGCATTTAACGCTAGAATTAATCATATTTCTAGTTTTCACTCGCCCACGTTTCATGTTGTTGAACCAAAAAAAAAAAATCAATCATGTCATTTCTTTTAAATAAATGTATATCTTATAAATATCTGGACATCATTTTTAACAGTAACTATAGAGATTTTAAAAACCATTTAGTCAATAACTGTCTTTGTTTATCTCTTGTCCTCTGTCATCTTTATCAATGTCTCTCGTTGTTGAACCATCTCTCTCTCTCCCTCTCTCTCTCTCCCTGTCTCTGACCAATTGCCCAAAATTCCCATGCTGTTTTATACATAGTGAATAATGCAGACCAGAACATTAGAGACGGGAACCACAGGTTGACATTAGCCTCAACATGGATGTGGTCAGAGGGAAAAAAAAGGGGGGGATATTTATTAGAAGTGCATAAAAAAAAGGGCTAATTGAAAAAAAAAAAAGAAAAAAAAAGAAATCATCATGAAAATTTAAAACAAATGAGGACATTTCCTTTAATACTTCTCGTAAAGTCACTTGACCAAACACCACATGAAAGAGAAACGTGTTCAGACAGTCACTAACTTGGTCCAACCAAACTACAGAATCCTTGTAGCTCAAATTTGAAAAGAGCACTGTTGACTGGGGGGGGGGTTTGGGAGGTAACACAGTGAAGAGTGGGGGTGCGGGGGGTGAGTTCACAGCAGCGTCCCAGCATTTCTCTGTAATCAGCCCATCACTGGGTGTGTCTGCATAGCTGCCACCACTAATTTCATTGGTCTCAGACCACGGTAAGATGGAGCCAAACCGCAGCGTGGAGGAAACTCCGCTGCCGTCTGCTGCCTACAGATGACAGAGTTTGGCTCACAGGAAAAGAATATGTAAAAAACACAGGGACATATGTCTGACTGAGATAAAGGAGGGTTTTTTTTTAAATAATTCTAACAGTAAAATGTTTTCTGTACTTTTACCTGTGTTATTATTTTTGCTTAGTTTTTTTTTCCCTAAATGATACTCAACTATTAATGGAGCTAAAATAAATGAGTCTGGATGTTAATGATCTCAGTGCTACACTGTGTAAAAAACATTAAAGGATAATTGATTGTCTTAATTTGAAATGTGGAGAACAAAACTGTAATAAATGAATAATAATTGCACTAAAAAAATTAAAGAATATTCCTGGCGGTGTGACCACTTTTAAGAAGTCTAAGATCGAGTCCAAATTTTTAAGCTTTGGCTAAAATTAAGACAATTTCTAGTCTAGGTTAAACATTAACTGCACAATTGAATGAGTGAAAATCAGTGCAGAGTCTTGACAACGGCAGCTTTGGAATCCTATCTGTGTGTGTGTGTGTCTGCGTAGGTGTCTGGGTGTGTAAACAAAGATTAAACATTGTATTTAGTATCAACAGGACCTTGACTCAGTCGTACCGTTGGCAGTAGAAGCACGAACAGCAGAGCGTGGAGCTGGTGACCTGAACATCTGTGCGAGTGTCGTCGTCCACAACAGGAAACCTCTTTGGTTCCCTCAGAAACTGCTGCAGGTCCGTCAGTGGGAACCCATTCTTCTGGTAGTTCTGTAAAAAAACAAAAAAAAACAAAACCAGTCTGTCTAATTTATTTATTCATAAAATGTTGTGATTGTGTGTAAAAATCCCTCAAATTCCAACTGTAATTCTTTCCTTCTCATTACTTTCAAACCAAAGTCACCCAGTTACACAGATTTCAATCATTAAGGATATTTCCAGACTATTTTATGTTTGCATCAAGTCTTTGTTCTGAGTAAGAATTTCATTGATGATAAATACAGGCTGGAGTGAATGTTTTTGTGTGGCACGCTGCGGCACATTTAACAACAGCAGAAATTCTAGTGAATCACGGCCAAGGAAGAGTGGAGGGGATTTTGGGAGGTTAGCGGGGGGTTGGTTGAAGCATGTAGGAGGGGGAACAGCCGACGACTCACTGAGTGTGAACATTCTTCAGGACCGAAGGCTGCACTTTCTGGGCCACATTATTGATACAAACGTCTGAAGTAACAACAACAACAACAACGACCGGTGTTTCTGCAGAAAATGTGACAAACTTGTGTTGTGCTGCAAAAAAAAAAAAAAACTGAGGGTCATCATGATGTGAAAAAAAGATTTCCTGTCAACAAACTGGACATGAAATGTGGCGAACCGCTCATTTCTGTAATCTTGAATTGGAAATATTCAAAAGAACAAAACATCATTTAAACAAACTGTGTTCCCTCAAAATGTGTCATTTCAACCTGCTAAAAAAAAAAAAAGTTTATTTAATTTGGTCATTTCAACCTGCTAAAAAAAAAAAATGTTTATTTAATTGTCTCAGGAACTTTACAGGTTTTTCCCCGTGGCCTGAGGCTGTAAAAGAGGTGCGAGGAACATTAACGTGAAGAAAGAAAAATAAACTGTTTTGTTTGGACTGAAAATAGTTTAGAAACTTACAACATTCACCATAACAAGTTCCACAGACCAGGTTAGTCTGTGATCACGACTGTATTCTACCTTCTCTGGGTTAAATATTAAAAACCAAAGCTGTCTAAAATGAATGTATCCGTCACACATCATCCACAGACCAGATCAGATCAGGTGAATCAACCGGTACCTTGATGGTCTCGTAGGAATCCGTGATGAGGGCGATGAAGAGCGACAGCACCATGTAGATGAAGAGGGAGATGAAGGAGTAGAGGTAGGCCCGGCTGAAGAGCCACACCAGCGTGTTTTTGTCCTTCAGCTGAGCGAAGGTGGTGAACATGTCGTCACCGTTCAGCAGAGAGAACAAACATTCTGCCACCAGACTCAGACCCTCGAACTGGAGAGAAGACGGAGAACAGATCACAGATCACTGGATCGATGGAGTCAGTTAACCTTGATGAAAAAAGACGTCATTATTTTCTTTGCAATTTATAAATAATGATACAGTACTGATGTGTGTGTGGGGAGTGTATCTTAGATTTAAGAAAGTTAAGTTCAGATGAACTCAAACAGACAACAGTTCATTCAAAAGCTGGAAACATTTCCCGTTAAGAGCCTCTCTAAGTTTTCACCACATCTTTAGCACTAATGGATAATAGATACATTAACTTCAGTTGAATGAGATAACAAAAAATAAATAAAAAATGTATGATAGATGTTCACTGTTGAAAACCCTCTGCCAACGATGGAAAACAACACGGCGAGGTTGTTGTGGATACGATTGATCTCGTCTCCTTTGAACTCTCACAGCTAAACAAATATTTTCATTCTTCCATTTTGTACTTTTTGGAACACAGACCTCCTCACCAGATGCCTGGAGGTGTTTTGGAAATGCACCAGGAAAACATGGTTGGTTTACACACACACACACACACGTGGAAATATGCAAAACATTCTTTTGTCATTTTTTAACTTTTTCTTTGCCTTTCTCTTCCTCTGATATTGTCGCAGTCCGACCTCAGCGCAGAGATGTAGGGTTCCCCGCTACAGGGGTAATTATAAGCATGTGCTGTGAAGCCACATGAGAAGTTACTGTAGAAGAACGGAGTAGAGTTTGAACCACATGGTCCCATAAACTTTAAACCTGCTCCGGAAAAAAAAGTGAAGCAGAAAACAGGATCGAACACCTTGTGTGATTGACATGGTTTATCCAATGGGAACGTTGCCATGTTGTAAATAATAAAGAGGTGAACAAAAATAAGGAGACGTGAAAAACACAAAACAAAAAACAGCTACTTGATGACTGTCGTATAAGACCAGCATGAAACACTGCCAAACATTTACTGTCAAAACACTTTCACAATAAAATTAAAAATGTAAAAAAAAATAAAGTTAGAACGTGATTGTTAATTATTACAAATGTGGGTTCCCATGGAGACGGGTATATTAATGACTAGGAGGTGTAAAAGGGCCTCAGCGCAGCAGTTCATACAGACAGAAAGACAAACACACCAGTGTTTGAAGAAAGCCAAGTTCTCCAGGATGAGATAGTATCTAAAAACAACACCCACTGTGAGGTTATGGACGCAGGGCAGAGCACTTGAAGACGTGTGGGTTGGCAAGTTCACGATCCTTCTGTTTATTCCCACAGTAAATACACAGGAATCCTGGAAGAGCCGACGGAGCTCTACGGGGGACTCCCCGAGCCACCGCCATGTAAATATGGCCACTGAGTCTCTGGAGACCACGGTGCTGGACTGTCACCGGGTCACACCCACTGTCACTTCACATGATAACCACACTTCACATCAGCTCCGCAGCTTGTTTAGAGAAGCGTCCTCTCCTCGGATTAATCCTAATAAAACATTAGAACCTCGGTCAGTGACTCGTCACTCGGCCCCAGGTGGCTCAGCGCCGCCTATCTCACATCTGTCTCACAGAGTGGGGGCTCCGTCTGTTTAGACGCCTGCTGATGCTCCGACTTCCGTAAATAATTTATCTTAACAAGCACAGACAGCTAAACACACACAAATCATCTTTGACAAAACGTTAGTTTACCAGAATCTGCTCTGAGCTGAAGATGTGGTCCTGGACGTCAACTTCACCTCAACTTCAACTTAGCATTCTAGTCTCACCAGATGATTTGTCAAGAACATTCATTTAGTGATTGTTGTTTAAAAAAAAAAAAAAAAACTTTTATACAAAAACTTAAACATTTGGCAGTTAATTATTTAGATGCAAATCTAGATGTTGGTCACTAAGTTTTTTGTTTTTTTTTTAATATCTCATCAAGTGAAAGAATTAAATAAACCTTATTGAATAAACAGAAATACGTTATTGTGTGTCTACATGAGCAAAATCAATTATGGAAGAACAGTATTCCTCCTTTAAAAAACAAACACTGACACCTAGTGACTATGAGCTGTACTTACAGTCTTAGAAACACAGCGCAGTGATATGTCAAACGCACGCCACGCGCATGGGCAGACTGTTACATTAGTGTTACACTTTTAAAGAGCTTATTTAACTGCCATAGTTTGAGCTGCTAAAAGTCGATTAAAAAATGTCAATTTTCTTTTTAAATAAATAAATAAACCAAGTAATTCCATCCATTCGTGAAACAAAAGTTGTTGTCTAGTATTACTTTAGTACAATCTTGTAGTAAAAGGGTTCCAGGATGGTCAGGAACTGATACTTATAAGATACTAATAAACAAAACCAGGTATAAATTCACCACACTGTCCACTTGCAGTACCTTCACGGTCTACAAGGGGGCTCTAAATTAAAAACCGGTCTCACTGAATGGCAAAAAATTAAAATATTTAAAAAAAAAAAAGACTGAACAAATGTGGAAAATTAAGTCTTGGTGAGAGAAGTTTTCAACCAAAGCTGAGGGAAAACAATAGGCCACACCCCCTTTGTCTACACAGTAAATACCTTTTGGTCATGTGGGGCTATTTGTCTTTCCAATCGACTACAGTCTTCTGTGTTTATTGGTGTAATTCCAGCCGTAGACTGATGCTGTCCCAGCTGTGTTTTATATCAGAGAGGACTGTTCCCTCTGGACACAGGTCAACAACTGTCATATAAAACACTGCTGTCTCTGCTCTCTACAGTCCAGCTCTACTTTTACCTTTTCGTGGTAGGGCCCTAGTACGATCCACCCACAGAAGGTGTAGCCGAGGTAGATCATGCCGGCACAGCAGCAGAAACGCAGCACCTTCGGGAAGGCGGCTTTCATCGTTAGGATCAGCAACTACGGTGGAAAGAGGGGAGGAAAAATAAAAGTTGGTGTAGTGAGAAAATGACTTTTGTAGAGATTCACAATGATCTTGGTCTACTGCAGCTGTACTTGAGACTGTGGTGTCATAATATCATAATTATTACAGTAATATCATGATCTTGGTCTACTGCAGCTGTACTTGTGGTGTCGTAATATCATAAGTATCACAGTAATTATTACCACCTGAACACTGACAAATACTTAAAGTAATACTTACGTTGTATTTCTGGAAATATCCCAGGTATCTGATCACGCCGACCCACACCAATAATGTAGCTGTTCCCAGGAAGATACTGCACACGTCATAAGTTGTTAGATTCTGTGTGTGTGTGTGTCAGAGAGAGAGAGAAATTGAGTTTGTTAATTTAGTTAATAAGTTTGGCTTTTTTTACTAAGTAGGATTTAAACTACTTCACATTCCATTTATTTAAGGATAAACTTATCCAACTATAACAGGTCTTTCCAGGAGATCAGTTCATAGTAACATGTCACATGATGGTGCATGTGAGTTATTATAATAAAGAGTTCAGAGTACAAATTACTGCACTGTATATATACTAGTTATCCAAAAACTACAGATCTATTACATATGAAATCCTAGAATATACATTTTTTAATGTTCTTATTTTATTTCCTCTCCATTAAAATGTCTCCAGATACAGAGATTTTCCAGGTTCAACACCAATCCTTTCCAAAGGCTTTTAAAAATATATTTGTCATCATAACTGAAACCCAAACTATGGACGTTCATTTTAAAATCCCTTTTTTCTTTAAATCAAGTCAAATGAAGCGAGTCAACACTTTACTCTGAAAACATTCGGTCTCATCCGTAACAGATAAAGTTTAACAGATGTCTGTCATCAGTCAGTAACAGCTCAGAACAGTGGCTATAAAAAAAGACACGCAGGTTAATATATAAAGACCTTATCAGCACCGTGTCTGTCTGCTGACCAAGGTGACATAATTCAGCAGATAAAAAAAAGAGAAACTCTTTTGGACTTAAACTTATTTAACTGCTTAACACTACTTACAAAAGTACTAATGTCATTTTTGCGAAATCCTCCATAACCCTCAGCTAATGATGAATGTACAGTCAATGAATAAATGGGAATTGAAAAGTGTATGTTATTTATATTTTGAGTGTAATAAATGGATCAGGCTGAAAACAGCAACATTCTTCATATTCTTTGTTGACACGAGCCACAAAGTAACAGACCGTGGAGCAGCTAAAGACACACAGCAGTTTATAGTCACATTGTGCAAACAGATCAAAGTGCACGTCTGGTTTTTACCTTGGCTTGTATTTCCATCTTTAGTATGGATCCAATTATGGCCAAGAGGTCGCTGACGATGACCAGCACATACCAGCCGTTCAGAAACTCGCCCTGGTCTTCCTCACACACGCTGCGGTCGGAGGTCTCACGAAGGAAGCGAGTGAATCTCTGCTCATACAGAAATGAATACTGTTTAAAAAACGACTGCAGGGTGTTCCAGAAAATAAGAAGGTTCAAAGAACTGCATTTATAAGAACACAAATGGATTGTTGGATTAGACAGAAGTTAGTAAAGTTAGAGTCAGACTAGAGACTAGTTGAAGGGGAGAATGTTTCCTCCACTGTGGGAGAACAGCCGGAGCCGCTGACCTGCAGTAACCTCACGGCCAGAACAATGGAGCGGGTGCAGAGCACGGCTGAGGTGAGACACACCAGAATGACGAAGCCGTCGAATATCAGAAGATAATGTGTGTTTTTCTGAACTGAAACAGACAAAGTGGGCGTTAACTGTTTATCTGAGGAGGAACTTCTTCATGTTCATCACTGATAACAGCGGTCTACTACAGTAAAATGGTTCTGCATCCTTGCAATAAATAAAACTAAATTAAAATAGTTATCAATTTATGAATATTTTGATATAAAAAAAAACATACCTGTTCCAGATATTTTCCAGTCTCGACAGGCAGAGCTCTGAGCAGCAATGTCCAAAAATATTTTTACTATTCCACTGTGACCCTGGTTATCAAATGTTATCTAAAAAAATAATAATATTAATACATTACAAAATGCAGGTGTAAATTCTGTTAAATGTCAGTTTGTCTTATGAGAAGAGCTGGGAAACAGTACCGTGACATGGAAAGAGTAGCAGTCGGGCAACTCTCGTGTTCGAACGGTCTGCAGATTGATTCCTTTGAGCTCAAAAGTTATTTTGATGTTGACAAGTCTGTGAAAGTTCATGTGGGAGAATTATTGTATCAATGGAGAGGAGTGAAACATTTAATGTGTTAAAGTGATGACAACAATACCTGTAAAAGTCCAAATCAAAAAACGATGAATTGTGCAGTAAAGGGTTGTGTGGATAATGTGACATACAAACTGGGGAAAAGACAAACACAGACGGTCAAAACATTCATTTCATATTTCTACACAAAACATTGAATTCTAATTTAATCTTGTCATTATTTGGAACAACTTCCACACCAAAAAAAACATTATTTCAACACCATCCACAGTCAGAACGACTGGTACAGGGCGATGCTCTGTCTCTCCAACCTTTCTCCAGTTGAGCGTCAATGTCAAAGGCCTCCCCCGTGGGATTCACACTCCCTTTCTTGTAGTACTCTTTACAAATGGCCAGTGGAAGCAGATTGCCGTCCTCATCCTCGGCGTATGTGATAGGTCCTGTGGAGAGCCGGCTGAACTGGTTGTACTGTAAATACAACAAGGCCGAGTTAAAAACAGCATCACACTGGAGTCAAACACAAAACCAGTTCACTTCACCCAGTAAACAAATCATGCCTGACCTGTTCGCATGTGTTATTTAAAAACAAAACAAAACTACAAACTAAAAATAGACAATTATTTGCACAGTTGACATTGACACCATTGACATATGTCTCTTATGTTCAGCAGATAGTTTTATCCAAAGCGACTGACAAGAGGAGGAGATGGAGGAAGGAAGTAGAGGAAAGTGTTAAGACAGGAGGTGTCCTCTCCTAACTCTAGTTTATTAAGTGCCAACCTTTGGTCTTTGGACCAACCTGGTTAATCATATTAATATTACTGGTTCTTACCACTAACACACAAGTCCTTCATCAAAAAAAAAAAAATCCTGAAAATATTCTAAAACAAAACACAAAACTACTTAAATCACATTGACTAAAGTCCATGTGATATCAAAACCTGTGCTATGAAACTAATCTGCCTAGTGACAGGAACACACACACACTTTGAAGGACACATTATTTTTGTTTAAGTTTGTTCCACACACACTTTGAAGGACACATTATTTCTGTTTAAGTTTGACCAACATAGGTGAACGTGTGACAAACGTACCTGATCTAGAACATAGAACACGCTGTCGTAGACGCCTTGTTGGGAGTAAACAGCAACACTGTAGTCGTCCTCGTCCACACCACTGTAGTCCTTAAGGAACAGGTTTTTGAACGCCATGCTGTTCTCCTCCTTATAGGCCACCACCAGCTGGTTGTTGAGGCCGAAAAGAACCAGCTGCAAAGAAAAAAAAGAAAAAGACTATTGTTAGAACCTGCATCATTATTAGAGAGGAGAGGGAATTATAATAAATTAAATTATAAGTATAATCAAAGTTTAGTTTTAAGGATTTTTCAAGATGTGATAATTAACTAATTATGCTGGCAATAAATGAGCTGGGATTGGCTGCAGATCCTCCCTAATAATCCCATAACTGAAATTAAATCTCCGTTACCAGTTGCTGTAAATTATTCATTAGATTTCACATGTTTATCAGAAGGCTGCACAACACAAGATGGAGTTTTACACATTTGAGAACACATCACTTCGGTGATCAAACATGAATGCTGACTCTGTGTCTCCAGGAACGTTTTATCTTATTTCCTTGAGATCTCTGAGTTGTCAAACCAAAGTTTGTTTAAGCTGCCAGGCCTTTTGGAAAATAACCTTGTTAGTCCTTCTGAACACAAACGTTCTCTTAAAGAAACCAGTGAAGAATCTTACTGTCAGGTGTGGTGTGTGAGTGCCAGGCCAACATTATTTTTGTAATAATAATCATAATAATGTTATTTTACATTTTAAAAAATGTCTATTTGACAAGAAACAAAACAACGTACAGTAAGACCCAGACCGGAGCAGCTGCTTCTGCCCTTTAGAGTTTGTCTTATTAGGTTTAAACCTCATGCACTTACCTGTGTGGTGATCATGATAATCTTCAAGATCTGAACCCCCATCTTCCAAGGTAAATGACGCCGGGCTCTGTACTTCTCACAGGGACTCATGAAGTAGTACATGAGGTCATCTCTCAGTTTCTCCTCAGTCACTGTGTCTTGGGTCATTTCAGAGCTGAAACACAGGAAAAAAATTATGATTTTGTTAAAAGAAAATAATAATAAACAGGTAACAAAACTTTGTTATTGCAGCCACATTTGGTAGTTTTATGAAAACACCCACACATTAATGCACTCAACATGTCGGTACACACTAAAAAAAAAAAGAAAAAAGAAAATGACAGTTTAAATTACATTTCTTTCAGAAAGCTGTAAAAACAATGTGGGAGAGTTCGTTTATTTTGAATGGATTTTCTTATTGATATTAAGTATTTTTCAGGTTTCACATTGTAATTTCAAATTATTAATTCTTAACGTTAAACGTTTATTCTACAATTCTCACAAACGTATTAATGTTATGATATAAGCAAGTATTTATCTCTCATATATAATTTAACCTTTGCTTTAGACGCATTTTCAACTTTCTGTAATGTTCTGTTATTTTCAAGTACCGCATTTTTTTTCTTACTTTTCACTATGCAAATACGTAAGTTCGTTCTATGTTTGTGTTATTAAAATTTATGCTTTTTACACACGAAACCGAACGACTGCGACTGGGGTTCGTGGTTATATCTAAATATCAAAAATATATAGAGTTGAGTGTGAAAAGCAGAAGTAAAACTAACCGAGCTTGTCGTTTAAACTTGATGTACTTGAGCAACAGACGAGTGTTTCGGAACAGAGCGGCGGTTTGTGCATCGCTGACAGGAACAAGTCCGTGTGCTGTGGACACTACCTGCATTCATGAGAAAGTCTACACGGATTTAAGTCCAAGGTTTGTTTAAAGAGTTCACTTTTAACATCTCCCTCGGTTGGTGTGTCGAGTAATAACCGACGACTACGCTTTTAAAGAAACCTCTGTGGGTTTCGCAAAAAGTAAAGTTCAACTTTCGTCACATTTGTATATTTACCTCTGAAAATGTTTCTCTTTTCTAAAATATCTTAACTATTCGCGCTTAGCGGCGCGACACCTACCCGATAGAGTTGCTCCTTTCCAGATATCGAACCAATAATTCCATATTTGACGTTCGGCGAAAACACAACGCGGTAAAGTAACGGCTAATAACGGAGTGTTAGTTTGACACAGTGAGGCAGCGCTGTCTTCTGCAGCACTTTTTCTGAGTGACCACGCAGCTGCGGATCAGCCAATCAGGAGGCGAACACAGGTGCTCAATTTGAGGCGAGGTGTCAGCGGATAATCACCGCGAGAACTCATCTCGGCCCGTCTTTACGCGACTTTGATTCAGGGACCGTCAGTAAGTTACCTTGAAACTTTTTTTTCATTCGTTTCAAATCATCCATTTTACATTTTAGCTCTGTATTGTAAATGCTCCATTTATCTTAATAATTATTACAAACTAGTAACACGTGTTACTTTATATAATGTTAAATGATACCATGACGGTAACACGTGTTACTTTATATAATGTTATGGGTTTTTGAAAAATATTAATACATTTTGATAGTAACCGTTGATACCATGGCATTGGTCATGACACTAATTTAAATGCTCCGAATCGCATATGAATGGCGAGTAATTGTTAAACTGATAAAAGAAAAACAGGTTACATTTTGGAAAAAATATATGTTTTGAGGTTTTAATCTGGACATGATCTGTAAGTGTGATAGTGAAAAAAGAAAAACACTTATTCACTTATTTTTTTAAATGAATTTAATTGAAAAAACATAGTTGCAACATAGTGCACAGTGTATAACAAGTCTTTTATTTATTTAAAATAAAAAACAGCATTTTAATGCAGTGCTTAATTGATAGTAAGGTTTTTGTAGCAAACTTATTTTGAAAGTGATATAACGATATATTTTATTCTGACTTGTTTTGTCCCATATGTAACTTGTAATCAGCTAAAAAGTTTACATTAAATTATTGTAATAGTTAACTTAAAAAATATTGATATTAATATTTGACTTTTTTGCAGTTCAATCAGCTTGGCCTGAACCCACCTCCTGAACTGGATGATGAAATGAAATAGAATCAGATGAGTCAAGTTTCTCTGAGTCCTGCCGGGAGGAAGAGATGATGCTGAATTAAAAATATGATCAAAAGCATTCTTTCCAAAGTAAATACTGTGTTGTGCTGAATCATGCATTAGTACAAGACATATAACATTAAAGTAAAAGTAAGATGCTTTATTTGGTTTCATTCACTACAAAATAATGTTACAAATGGCAACAAAGTCCAGTGAGATACCGTCACACAATTATGAGTTGAACTTGTTCATAAATATCACAATTATTTTTAACTGGTAAAAGTGATATTTATCTTCAAAGAATGAGGATCAGAATTTAGTGGTTTGATTTGTGTTTCAACTTTAAATAATTGAACATTATGGCAACATCAAATTGATGTTCCACCCAATTATGCTGTAAAAATTATGCCACGGTATCTACTTTGGTATCAAAACAAGAAATGTTAAGGGATGTGGAGCAGCAAAACATTTTAACATTTGAAGTCGTAACAAGACAAACCCAACAACTGTGATCAAAACACAGATGAAAGCACCAGACTTATAATAAAGAACCATAACCGAGTTAATAAATATCTGTTTACCAACTGGAGAAGCATAATCCAATATGTGTATGGACAATTCTAAAGCATGAAAAATAAAGTTAAACAGCACCTGTAAGTTCAGTGTAACAGAAATATCTTTGAATGAACTTAAATGTCACTTGGAAAAAGGCTCACCGTTTCATCCGTTCTTGAAGATTGTCTTTCTGTCTGTTGAGGTCTGAGCGTGACGTCTTCTGTGCTGGATTCAGAATTGTTTTCAGGGTTTGCTGTTGACTGCGATGAAGAGTCTGAGTGGGGGGGTTTAGTGTTATTTGGGGCAGCAATGCTGACTTCTGACGGCTTCTCTTTTTGTACTTGTTGATTTGGTGCCGCATTAGAAGACACATTTTGCTCTAATTCTTCACTTTGTTCCTGCCGTTCAGAGTCTGTGTCATCCTCACTGTTGGGGGGATCAGCAGCAACCAGGGTCTTCACAAACGCCGGGGACTGCTTTTCCCTACGTCTGCAGGGATTTCGCTCATGAACCTGAGCCCTGTCTAACCTTCCATCATTGTCTTGCTGCCCTGGCTCTTGTAGTTGATCATTCTCCAAAGCCAAGTGCTCACGGACCTGAATCATCTGAACCTGGGGCTGGTGCTGTCCTGGTTCTGGCAGAGGTGGATCGCCTCGAGGACGGCGGAAAGGTGCAAGGATCCCATGCTGGAAGGCTGCCTGAACGCTTCCATACATAAATACCTGCAGGAAAACCAAGTCAACATATGATTTTATATACAAGATCAGATCTAAATAAAAAAAAATAAAAAAAAGGGACCAGACTCATTTAGCGCATGGCAGTAAGAATTAATCCACAGTTACCCTGGGATTAATCATCTGCTATACTTTGAACCCTTCCAAAAACTATAGTGTTTTCATGTTTCAAGGCACTTCATTCAAAGTGTAACTTTTCTTACCACAATGGAGAGGACAATAGTGAGAAGCACTGGGATCTGCAGTGTAACAGGAAGATCTTGGAGGAGGGCTCGAAGGAACTCACTGATTCCCTGACCTAAATGCTTCAGTGGTTCAGTGATGAAAGTTGTGATGGTAACTGAGATCGCCTAAAAGAGAGATGAGAGAAACAAACTAAATGCATGATTTCAGGAAGACGTAACTGGTTTAATGCCAAATGTATTCAAAGAGTGATTTGAAGAGAGCTACCTTAGTCGGAGGTACCAGAAGAATGGGGTTGACCATGAGGACTTCATAGTATCTCTTACAGGGGTCATCTTGAAGGGTCCACGTGCTGCGAAACCACTCTACAGAAAAATTATACAAACATTTGTTTAAAACTCATCAATGTCAATTTGCCATCCAAACAGATCCATTCAAACAGTAAAGGATATATTTATTCTGAATTTATTCATCTTAAATATAAAAGATAGTAGTAACAGTGGCAGCCAAGAAGGTTTGGACATCAGTGATTATATTTGGTCTAGAATGATGGAGATGATTCTGTGAATCCAAAACAACGTGGCTCACCTTTGAGACTGTCACTCCAGTCAATCTTCTTCACTCCAGTACATTTTGCATTGACGCTGTCCATTTTCACCATGTTATTCTGGTGCTCTGCAAAGGCAATCTGAACACAAAATAACATTTAATGAAACTGAAAACTTTGTTTTTTTTTTAGCCTGAAATGAACAGTGTCCCTCACCTTATACAGATAAAACCAGTTCCAGACAATACTGACAAAGAAGCAGATGGCAAACATCCGAGTGAACTGCACAAACCAGGACACAAATGACCACATCTGAGTGCAGACAATGGTCATTATGAGCAGAACACATAACACCATCTGGAAAACAACACAGGAGAAGAGGGATTGTTAAAAAAAATAGACTTTCTGCTACAGTGAATTAAAAACCCTAATAAGTTGTTTTTGTTTTTTTTAAATAAAGGAAGAGCTCACTTTCAGTAATGTGTCAAGCTCAACACCAAAGGTGTCTTCAAAGCGCCACCTCCAGGCCTCGTAGTTGTGCGGTTTAAGGTCAACCAATATCTGACTGACAGCATTGTCCAGAGCTCCAGTTCTCCAGTTTTCTTCCCCCTCCAACAGTGTCTGGATCTCTGTCAAGGCTTGTCTGGACATTTTGACTTTAGCATCATAAAGTACTTCTGTGGAGTCACTGGGCTGGAAAAAAACACACACAAAAAAACTAATCAAGTCCAGTTTTCTTATACAGATTAATACATTTGTGTGACCTACACTTTGTTTTTCTTTTTTTGACAATAAAATGACCACCTACTAAACCGAGTCTTTGTATATCCTTCAGGAGTCTGGTGAGAAACCTCTTAAACACTGGATTACAGGTGGGTTGTTGGGACATGACGTTGATCTTCTTCTTCTGTTCTTCAATCTGATGGAAAAAAAAATTGATTTTTCATTTTTACCTGATTGTTTTAAATCCCTCACATTCATCAAATACAGTGTTAAAATAATCTGAACAGTTTCAAACAATACTCTAGTTACATGTGAAGATAATAATGATTGGATTAATTTACGTCTAACTCATTTGTATAAAACATGCAAACATAACCAAATACCTCACCTGTGACTTCAGCTCTTTGACGTTACTGTTGCACTGTGTTAACTCAGCCTGGCTGGAGTCCTCGGTGAACTCTCTTCTTTTGGTTGAAACCTTGTCATAGTGTGCAGGCTGCAAAAAAAGACAGAAAACACACACACACAGATAAATATATGTGCTATAGTTACAGCTATAGTTACAGCTACCGTGAAGTTTCAAGTGTTAAGTTCATAAACACAGCATTCTAAGGCTATCATTAAAACACGGAGATTTTTGTGGCTTCTGAATTGATAAAGAAAATGGTCTGTTTTTGTGTAAAAAGGTAAAAATGCTTTCTCTAAAGTGAAAACTGAACGTATGTAAAAAATGAATCAAACCTACAGCAGCTCCGCCTCAGGTTGGCACAGTTTACCTTACAGAAGTTCATCATAAATATGCAGCACAAACTGTTCCAGAAAAACCTGTTAAACTATGATGTAATGTTGGGTAATTATGACATTTGCATAGAAAAGTCTTTCTTAAAAATCTCTTAAGAAGTGAAGCTTTAATAAGAAAATCGTGTTTCTGTAACAACCTTAACTTACTGTAAGTATGAAGTAACAAGTTATTTCTTTGAACTAGTCCTTGAACTGATAAGACTCGTTTTCTTATCTACTGTCTTTACATGCATCACACTGAAAAGTCCTTTGGACTTAAGACCTACTTTCAAAAGATAAACCTAAAGAAATGCTAACATGTCAAATATGTAACCGTATGGATTTAAAAGTTGCTGCGATTAGTTAATAATTCGTGGGTATCTTTACTGTTCGTACCCAGAGAGAGCCCAAAGTGTTATAGTATTCATTAAATTGAGTGAATGTAACCAAAGACCAACATCAGAGTACTCCTTACCTCAATGGACTTTTTCATTGATTGTGTTCCGTGGTCGTAGTTGAGCATGTCGTACGGGTCTACCCAGTCGTCGTTCATGTCCTGACCGGAGGCCACCACGGCCAAATGAACGATTAGCGGCACCAACAGGAGCATCCTGCGGCCAGAGGAGAGGCTTGCCCCGGCGGTCGGTGTTGGAGTGGAGCGTGGAGTTCAGAGCTCAGTAGAAAGGCACGGCACTAGAGGATCGCTACAGCTACAGCTACAGCTAGCTTAACGTGAATCAGTGCATGTAAACTTGATTCAGAAGAAGATGATTATTGTCAGAAAACAGAACAGAACTCAGCTTTCCAGCGACCCGTTTATCTGACACCAAAGTTTCATTTTCGGCTGCTAAACAGCATGGGCACAACTACAAGAGCACACACAACATCTGACGACAAGCGGAAAATACGTGCACATACGCAAAGGCTCACGGGAAATTGGGTCCTTCTACGAGCGTCGTTTTGAATATTAGTTTCAGGTGCGAACGTAGCGTCTCAGTATCTTTGGTAAAACTCAATCTTGCAAAAACATAAAAAAATAAATTAATAAAATAAAATAAAAAAAAACCGCCCCACGTGTTTTGATCATTATTATTACAGGGTTTTATTTCTTTTAAATATGTTTTTTTGGCATTGTTCCAAACGCAAAAGCCAACAAGTGGGGAAAAAAACAAAGGCTTGTAGATAAATTCTGTTGGTATTAAGTTTCCTTTCAGATAATTCACATTTAGATATATTCAATATTTAATTTTGTTAATACATATTCACGAATAAGTGAGCAAAATGTTAAGTATGATTCTTGGTTTTGCCATTTACCAGTTTCTTTAACACTAATTGAAGATCAGATGTTACTGACTTAATGACTTGTTTTTTCTCTACTAAACTCACATTAGATTAGATTAGATTATTAGGTATTAACAAAAAAATGGTGCTGAATCAATTTCAATCAAAATTATTTATTGCAATGATGTCTTTGGTATTTACAAAATCAAACGAGAACATATTTACTGTTGTGTTAGAGATTGAGTTCAGCTCTTTTGCAGTATAAAAACCCTCTTTTAAAAGAGGACGGCAAAAAAACTTGACATCTTCAAAAAGACAAAAACATGTTTCGTTTTAATCTGACATGTGCCAGCGTATCATGAAACTTGACCCTGTTGTATGGGACTTATTTCACTTAGACAAGAGCTCAGAGGATGATCAACACAGAGAAGGACAGTTATAACAGGTCAAAGGTCACCTCCAGTAGAATGATAGGGGTTCAGATTCATTTTCTTTTGCCACCTTTCCCGCTCCTCATTCCTCCTTTGCCTCCCTTTGATGGTCTTCCTTTGCCCTTGCCTCCTTTCCCTTTGCCCCCTTTGGCACGTTGCTCTTTCCTCTGAATTCCCCTTGCGTCCTTCTTCATACGACTGTCCACTACTTTGAAAACTCCCTTGACGCCAGCAGGCCGTCTCACTTTCTTACCAACTCCTTTTTTTGACACAACGTATGTCACTTCTCTCTTCTCCTTCCCCAGGCCGGCTTTCTTATAAATACTGACAAATTAAGAAAAGGAAAAAAAAAAAAGGAATGTTAAGAATGACAGAATTATCACAGAACAGTTCAAATGCAGTTGCACTGCAGAGTACATTACAGTCATACAGTAGTGCTTTCATACCTCTTCAGCTGAGCCATCTTCTCTCTCTCAGAGATGTCCACTGTGTTCACCACGGCCTCAGCTTTCTTCTTGGCCTGCTCCATCTTTTTCAGCGTCTAAGGAAGTCGCAGGGAAATTCATGAATTAGAAATACATTTTAAAAAAATGACAATACAGATGAACAACTTTTTTTTTTTATTTCAAAGCAACAGTTTTTTTTTAATCATTCACTCCATCCTGAACTTACCCTCCTCTTCTTCCTGGCCTTGGCTTCAGCGACACGTTTGATCGGCCGGGCATCAATTTCCTTCCATTTTTGTTTGTATTCCTCCACCATCTCTTTAGAGAGTTCAATTGGCTTCTTTCTGTGTTTACGTTCATCACCAAGGAACCACTCAGGAACTTCCCACGGCTGATCAGAACTGGCAAACCTGCAGGAGAACAGAAACCGTTTTCTACGTGCTCAGCCACTGTAGGAGCTGATACAATTGTTTTACATTCTAAACCATCACACAAACCTATGGAAGGAGTCGTCCACCAGGTCTCTGGCTCTCTTCCTAGAAGTAGCTATTTGGCAGCCCAGGGCCAGACCTTCTGCGTCCAGGATCCTGGCTTTCTTACCTGCAGAGCACAAACCACGTACTCTTATTTTTAGTCCGTATTTGAGTAGTTAAACACTCACAGTGAAAATAAGGTGAAAGATATGTATTACTCACTGGTGCTCTCTACAGGTACAACCTGGAAGTCTTCATTGTCTGCCTCTGTTCCATTAAGGCCTCTGGCATTTTTCATCTTGCTGATCTCCCTGAGAAATTCCAAAAATATATCAATTATGACCTTGACCATAAAATTTTATGAATGTTCACTTACAAACAAGCAAGAAAATATCAAACTTCTAATTTAAAATAAATACTTAATATACTTCAAAATGTGTTTGAATAAAGAAATCTCTATTTTACTTCTCATCATCGCTGCTGTCATCTGAGTCGCTGTCACTCTCCTCCTGAGCTTCCTGTGAAGGTCCTGCCTTTTCCTTTTTTGTGTCAACAGGTTCTTGCTCCTTCTCCTCCTCCTCTTGTTGCTCCTCCCCCTCCACATCATCCTCCTTAGCTTTTCTTTTTTTACCTTTGACCCACCAAAAAAAAAAATTAGCAAATAATTCTTGTAGACATGACATAGAAAATATTAAAGCACACATGATTAAAAGTGTGCTTCACATTTAACATAAAATAAAAAGTCATGGTTACCTGTCTTTCTGCTCTGGAGGAACTCCGTCTGTTGCAGTTCATTCTGTGCGTCTCCTTCCAGACCAATCTCTGAAAAGATGCCCTGCGCAAGAAAAGTCAAGACATGGAGGTGACATACCACAAGAGGGCTCCAGAGTGACGTACATTTAAATCAACTACAACTGTAAAGAACACTGTTAATGATAAAACAGTCCTACCTTGCTGAACCACAGGTTGGTCTCTCGCTCTTCCTTCTCGTCCTTTTCCTCCAGCTCCACCAGCAAACTATTGTCCTGGACTTTATCATCCTCTTCCTCTTTAGCAAACTTTACCCTACAAAAGCAAAATGACCAATTAGTCCTGCTTTTTAAAGATGAAGTACAGAAAACAGTTCTCTTTTTTCTAAACAAATGTGAAAACGTTTATTATAAGGCTTCTAATTTTGGATTTCCTTCAACATTAGGGATGTTCTACAAACATATCACAAATTAAAACTGAGTTTTCATGTCAGAATGAAGCCGACCGACTGTCCACAAAGAACCAGTACCCGAGGTACAGGACAGAATCTGGACTTTCAGTACCCGAGGTACAGGACAGAATCTGGACAAATTTACTAACTTCTTCTTTCCTGCCTTCTGCTCCAGCTCCATCTGTCTTTTTTCCACCTCCTCCAAATCCTCTTCATCCAGATCAGAAGCCAGGGACATTTTATCCTCTTCACCAGCCTCGTCCTCTGACACTTCGATGTCATCATCCCCGAGATTTTCCGCAGCTTGCATGTCCCCTTTGGATAAGTCGGTCAGCACCTGATACAAACGTAAGTTGTGGTTAATCTACATTCTCCTCAACATGTGTGAAACGTTAGAGTAGATATTAGCATGCACAGTAGTCCTATGTAAAATGAGAGGACGTATTCAGTGTCAAATCTTTTCACGTCTACATGTTCAAACTGTCCTCTTTAGTCATGCTCAGCTACAGGTCGTTACATTTCGTTTCTTGATGGTAGCGAGTGAGAAGAGGGAGCAATCGCTGGTGTCAGCGATGGAGACACCAGGCAGATCCATCTTCAGCTCCACTCTCTCCCTCTGCTTCCTCCGATCCTTCAACAGCTTCCTCTTCTTCCTGAAGGACAGACGTAAAGACTGAAAGTTTAGGTTTGTCTCTTCACTCATCTGTTCTGATAATACAACGGGTTAAGGAATAAAAGAAAGCGAAACTGAAGAAAGTCATCTACCTTTTGAGCTCAGCCACCTCCTCGGCTTTCAGCTCCGCCAGTTTCTTCACCATTTCTTCCTCTTCCTCCTTGTCGTTTTCCTCGTCTTCATCGTCCTCCTGCTGCTGCTGATCTTTTTTTGTCGTCTGTTTTGCCTCATCCTCTGAATTACTCTCTGCTTCATCTGAACTTAATCTAAAAAGAAAATCATGTGAAGCCTTGCAACAATGGAATCGACTTCATTGGAGGATTAGATGTGAATTCATATTGAAAAGTCTTTTACTTGATCCCCTGGTCCTGCTGTTTGGCCTGCTTCAACTTCCTGGCCATATATCTCCGCAGCTTGGATCTCCAGTTCAACAACATACTGTTGATACAAAGGTTTTACTAAACAGGATGAATTTGTGACAACACTTTGTGTTTGCATCTAACATTATTTATGAAATGACAAACTGTGGCCTTAGACAACAGCAAACTTCTCACCGAAGTTCTTTACGGCCCAAGACTTTGATGTCACGACAACACTCCTTAATCTCACGACTGGTGGCTGAATGAGACTGCAGCTCTGGGTTGTCGAAGGTGATCTGCATCAAATAAATAAAAAAAAAAAACAAGGTGAAAATAGTCAGAAATAGCTTAAAAACAATGTTGTGCAAGAGCATAAACAATAATATTAAAATATGGAATAAAAGCTGCAGAGAGGAAAATCACAGCTTGTCTTCTTACCGTACTGGCTTTGTCGAGGAAGTCTACAGGATTCTCAGCTTTCAGAAAGTCAGTCAGGGTGAAGCTGTGGTAAAGGGTCAGATCACCATCAGCGTATCCCTCCGCCTACGAGAGGAAAACTGCCTGGTCAATAATGTAAGGTTTACTCATAGAAAAGTGAAATATAATTGTTCATTTTTAAATAAATCCTACTTAAATATAAATCAAAATACATGTATCTGTCCCACATGAACTGTTCATACCTTTGCCTTCTTGTAAGGAACTAAGTCTTTAATGGTTTTCGCCTGAACATCCACCTCTTTAAAGGCATGTTTGGGGTCAAAGAATTTCGCATCAATTTTATCTGGAGCAAGATAGCCTGGCAGAGAAAGAAAGAGACAAAGTTAATTTACATCTTATCTATAAAAAAAATGACTCAATGTGGGCCAAACAGGCCGATACTGACCCTGACAGACCACAAAGATCTCAGCAGACTCATTCCTGGAGGCCTGTGGCTTGGTGGCCTGAACCTTCTTGAAGAAATGCTGGAAGATCCAGAGCAGCGGCTGGTAGTCTTTGGAGCGGAAGACCTTTGTGATGAAGGTTCCACCTTTGTTTAAAAACTCAGAGGCCAGTTTAAGTGCCATGAGGCACAGATGAGCTGGTGGAGGCAAGAGGCACAGATACTTTAAATAAACGGGTTTGGCCAAAAAATTCTACCGACAAAGGTGTTTATAAACTGCCCAGAAATCAAGAAAGCAGAGGCAACAGTGCAGACGATTTACTGCTCTTTACTTATAGCTACTATATTATCAATGTGGTGCTGTTCTGCCCTTAAACTGACAAATGTACGGCTCATGTGAGTTTGTATAATTGTATTTCTTTTCTCAGCACAGACACAAAGGTGAAAGCAAATATGGTGAAATTTTATGCTCACATTTTTTGCAGTTACTGCAGTTTGGTGTTAGTGAATGTTAGTGGAAACACTGGTTTCAGCTGCACTTACCTTGTGTGAAGGCATCATGTTGCCAGTTGGCTCCCACGTTTGGCGCTCCGTCATTCAATACCACATCCACTTTCCATGTCTGCAGCTCCTTTCGTAAAGCCTGAACACAGCACAGATGATTTTCACCTCAGTCTCTTTTGGTCTGTTATTACAGTACGTTTGTTTATTTGGGGAAGATAAAGCAGCTTTTTGAAAAGAACTGTCATGTTGTCACTGATGGTAATGGATCGTCCTCTCACCTGTCTGCACTTATCAGTGGTGATGTCTTCCTGCAGCGTCACCACATTTGGAATTGGCTTGATGGGAACCAGGTCAACACCTGAGGGAAGGTCATAATAACCAACATGTTCACTTTCATTATCTTTCACCTCATTGGCTGTCATTATTTCTTAGATCAAATCAGTGAAACACTGAAAAAACATATTTGTTCATTCAATAAATGAAGGAAGAAATATATTCAAAATTACATACGCAACACAAGAAATACAACACAGTAAACAAATGTACAGATTTAACTGTGATAGAGACACAGGAGCATTTTGACAGTGTCTAAAATAAAAGGATTTTCAAATGAACACTTTAAACAACTCACCGATAATGAGACTTGAAACAGGCATAAATTTTGATGCCACCTGTAACCTTCAGACAACACACACAATTATTTGTTTTTCAAAGTAACAAAATCAACAAGATGCTAAACAGTAAAACCAGTAGCAAGAAACATTCGATTTAATCGATTTTTTAGGGATGGTCAAATTCATTGTTTTCAATGTTTTTTTATTTTTTTAGGGATGGTCAAATGGTTTAACTCACTGTTTACGATGTTTTTTTAAACAAAATTAGGGCAGCATGATTTTTCATCGTGCTAATTACATTCGACTTTCAAAAGCCACACAAAACACAAATCAAATATATAAACATAAACAATGTCTGCTTTCACATTCTCATGACCAAGCCTGTGTGTATTCAGTGACAAAGTGTTCTTATGGTCAGTTGTTGACAGGCAGCTTACCATCCACCCGGAGCTGCACACAGATCGACCACGGCTCTGGCTTTTTGTAAAAACTGATATTTACGGTTGAGCTGAATGAGTTTGAAGGAGGAACGAGAGCGATAACCTGAAAAAGAAAAAATACAAGGCAGGTTTGAGAGCGTTACAGAGCAAGAAGCTACAGCTAACGATTCTACCTTAAAAGAAGCGGTACTACACCTGTTTCCTTAGCCAAATGGTAGAATTTATCTTTCCTGGTTTTTCCGACTTTAAGTTTCTTCCCCATTTTTGCGGTTGTAATTTGTTGCCTTAACCTGAAACGGATTTATAGCCTTTTGTCGGTAGTTACTGACTATGAACCATGTCCATTAAAAAACCACACGTGTGTCGCTGCCTCTGAGACGGAAGTACGTCACACTATTTACTGTGCTGTTTCCGTTGGGAGCAGTAGGCTACCGCCACCTGCTGGCTGGGAAGCCAAAAAATAACTAAACAGTCGCCTAAACTGAATACATAGAATCAAGCTGTGTCTACGGGAATAACTCAAACCGGATGTCATAAAATATAAATCTGTGTTTAATGGAATTTATGGGCTTTACAGACCAAAATACAAAGTACTTACTGGACACAATAGATTTTTTATTTGCACTTTATTGTCTTTTTTTTTTACAAGTACTCCCAATTATGTAAAGAGAAAAAAAAAAACGTGTCAGCTGTCAGAAAGGCCTGTTTCTGGACCGGGTGTTTATCAGTCCCAGGACAGAGAAGGCACTGGCTGCTGCCGTCACCAAACTGATGGCCCCAATGGCCCGTGTAGCCTGCAGACACGGAGAAGCAAACACAGACTTAATAAAGGGAATTCAGAACTAGTCAATGCAACGTAACTCTTAGTACAAATTAGCAGGACAGGATGATTTCAGGAATAGTGAATATGTGACAACATTAAAACTACTACTACTAATTGTAGTCCTAGTTAAATAGCTCCTAATAGTATGTATAGTACAGTACGTTATCTTTGAGGGCTGTAAAAAAACATAGACTTCTTAACATCAGCAGTATTAAAACAGTCACCTGCTCTGAAACCCCCTCCCCATAGCGCAGAAGGGTCACAAAATGCTCGCAGTTGCTTCCCAGCAGGTCATAAGACACCTCCTGGCCAATCAGATCCTGCGCCCGTTGGATGATCTCACACACAGGCAGAGGTGTGTGATTGTGGTCATACTTGTTGTTGACGCGGTACGAGTCACTGCCCACCACCTCCTTCAGCAGCTGCATACGGACCACCGCCTTCCCGCTGAAGACTGACTGCACACTGGACATGGCTGCAGCCTGGCTCTCATCTGGAGAGAAATGTCATATTATATACTATTATTAACATGCAACACATGTGTGTATCCGTACGACAGGAACAGGTTAAATGACTAATCATGACTTTTTTTCATTTATTATTATGGGCTGTGATTTTAAGGCAAAGTGATGATGTATGTATATGTACACTATAAGTATATGTATTATAATAATAATAATATATTATTATTATTATTATTATTATTATGGAACCTTTCACTAACCAACAGGAGTTAGGTTAATGATGTAACCATCTCCCAGGTACAGAGCCCAGTGCTGATAGGCTGGTCTGAAGATCTCAATGAGGTCACCAGGCTGGGGGTCAAGGGAGGTGTCAGGAAGGTCGGGGTCATTAGAGGCCATCTGTAAAGAGTGTAACAGATCCAGCTGAGTATTGAGTTTCGTATTCATACGCAAATGTGTGAATGTGTTTTCACAAAAGCCAACAAACCCCATTAGGTTATTTAGTTTTGTTGTAGTCTTTCGACAACAACAGCTGACCTCTGAGAGGTCAGCGGGGTCAACATGTTGGGTCATCATCAAAATCATTGTCATCAGTTAAAAAAACCCAACAAACTACACCATTTAAAAAATGGAACAATTCAACAAATATATTTCCGACGAACTTACTCTAGAGTTTTGTTGTTGTTTATCCATCCCACATCATGTTTGCACAGATTCTGTAAAACAATAAAAAACACAGGATATGAAAATGTCATCATTTCAAACTGACCACTCAAACCCACCGGCAGATTATTGAACTTTGCAAATCCAAGGACTGAAAAATATAAATGTTAGACACACATAATTAAAAGAGCAAAAACCAGGTTTCCCAGTGTAGAAGAATGCCAAATAGGATTTTTCACAATGTAAAGGTCAACCATACATACACACAGGCAAATACAAAAGCTGCTTTGTCTCCAGCGCTGCCACAATGGTGGCAACACAATGAAGAAGCCGACAGAAAACGGTTGGACTGGAAAATATATGAAGTTAAAAACAAATTTCCATAGTGAGGGATTGTATTTTTTTTTTTGTTTTGTTTGATGAGTTGCTTCAAATCTCCAGTTGGTCAGGTCTCAGACAGGGGCAGACAGGGGCACCAGGTCAAAACTACATTTAAACAGGTTGAAATCTATATCTGCCCAGGAGGGCAGTGGGCATATCCATGTCATTACTTATTTATCACGCAATAGCCGTGATGCTCAAAGGACAATGGCGTCCATTAAATTACTTCATAAATTGCAACATTGATAATTGTTTCACATCTGTCGCATCAGAAAGTTGTTTTTTTTTTGCAGCTTTCAAAACAGTAAATAGTTGAACAATACTTACTCATACACCAGCAGTTTCTTCTTTCTCACCATTTTAATCATCCATCATAAATCCTCACGTTATCATTCAAAGAAAAAAAAATTCCAGAGAAAGAGGGAAAAAAATCTAGTAAAAATATCTTAGGCAACAAGAAGATGATCTGTAGTATTCAGAAAGCCAACTAGAGGCTGGAGGTCCAGTAGAAAGAGTTTCAGTGTCTGAGGCTTTGATGCTGTCAACACAGTCACAGTTGTTTCTCTCCCTTACACACACACTCTCTCTCTCTCTTTCTCTCTCTCTCACTCTCTCTCTCTCTCTGTCATACACACATACTGAAAGAGAAAGATAGTGAGAAATATAGTATATATATAGAGAGAGAAATGAAAAACAACAAGGTGAGATATTTTTAACCACATCATATTTACCTTTCACTTCATTACAAGATAATTCTTATCTGTAACAATGTCACCTTTATTAATTAAATTGTTTTGTGCAAAGGAAATACAGCACAGTTGAGCTTCAAATAACACATTTTTTGGGGGGCTGTTGGTCAAAATAGTAAAGGAACGAAGGAGGAAGAACCTTGTTTCTGTTGCAGGAAAAAAAAGAACCGTTTTTCAACTTTCTTACGAGGTCAAACTTTGGGGACAGTCTTTGTTTTGGTTGGACACAAGTTTCATAAATCTCAGAAACACTGTGAGGACAAGGCAACGCAACAATGTTGTTGAAATAGAGCGAGCGACTGGATTCATACAGCAATGACTGAGCTTTAATGTGAGGCACAAACTACTAGGTGGCCATGTTAGTATTTTTACGTAGTAAACTCTTCTGACCTGTCAGCGATCAGCAGTTCACTGGAGTTCTAACGGCTCACACAGTGGAGAAGGTGTGTGGGAGGTTGGATTATTTTTGTTCTCACTGATTGGCTGCTGCTGCAATTCGTCATCAGTCTCCGCCCCCTGTTCTGTACCCACCACTCTGAGCTAGAACAACACATAGAACATCTTTCAAAATAAAATGCCACAAAGAAGCGCAAACAAAAGTCAAACGAAAGCGAACGTAACAGGGATGAATAGAAGTCGAGCTCTATACGAACTTAAAAGGACATTAAACTTAAAAGGTGTAGTGTGTAAGGTTTACATGGTATTGTCTATTTCCGTGGCAGAAATGGAATTTACAACAATTCAATTTAATGGGTAAACACTTAGCCTGAAATGATGAATTGTTGTTTTTACAGCTCCATGATGAGCTTTTGAATGTCGTCATATCTCATCACTGTGTTATTATATCAGCCCATAGTTGACCATCAAAACAAAATGCAGTTTTTTGTGTGTCCTACTGTTTGAAAGGAAAGTCAACAAGTAATTTTAACCAATGCTACACACTATACCTTTAAAACTGATACTCTGTTAAACCAAGGCCGTGACAGAGAGTAAATCAGTTTAGTAATAAAGATAACGACCAAGTGATTTTAATAATATGCAAGTCAGTGGGAACCTATATGTGCTGTACTGGTTTGCTGTCAAACGGAGGTTTATTGTGAAACGCAAGGCGGAAGTGGAGTCTTCAGGCAGCACTTTGACAGCAGAGCGTCAAACATCAGGTTAGCCGTGTCTGTAGCGAATATCTACCAAGGGTGGTCCAGTGTTTGGTAACCTCCAATTATTAGTGTATGTCTGATGAGAAGAAGGTACCGGGCGGAGGTGAGTAATGAAACCGTCAGGTGTGCGCCTTATTACCGTTATTTTAATGTCGCTGTTGCCGGTGTTGAAGTTAGCTCAACTCTTAGCCTACTGCGCCAAAGCACGCGACCTCTCAGTTCTCGTTAGAATGTCAAAGTTTTGTCCTAAACAGCAAAAAAACACCCGTTATTATGTTCTCCACGTCAGTGACATAATTTGTTAATTTGTTACGGTTTTCTCCTCGCATCGAAAGGTCTTTTAAACAGTTGGATAACTTGGCTAATATCACGTATCGCTCCTTCACTTTCGTTTAGCTAAAGTGCTCACGCACAGGTCAACAAATGATTTGTTGTTGTTGTTGTTTTGGTGATCATATTACTGAGTTCACGTCTCTTTTGTATTTTCACTGACGGACCACCGTTAGTCCTCTTTGACCCCTCTCTTCTCTCTCTTCTCTTCTCTTTTCTCACTGCCCAGATTGGACACCATGGCTGCGGCTCCTCCTCTCAGAAGAACAGACTCAGCTCAGGGAGACTTTTCTCCTCTCAAACACTTCGTTCTCGCCAAAAAGAAGATTAGTGAAGTGTTTCAGCAGCTACTCAATTACGTAGAAGAGACTGCAGAGTTTGTAGAAGGTGAGCGGGTGTTGATAATCGGGTCGTTCTTTCTCGTTTGATCAGCGAGATGCTGGATGGGAAGTGAGTGAGTTATCTTATCTTCAAAATAAATGACGTAAACCTAGGGGAAAAATGAAGTCATAACAAGTATATATATATGTACTGCATTACTCGTAGTGGCCAAGAGTACTTAGGTATTTGTATTTGCTGCCACTTTAGCATGTATTTTTGTTCCCCCCACACACAGACTACATTATTATTAGCTACAAAGACAGCAGGTCGAATACTGGCACATCAGTTTTATAGAATCAGCAAAGATGTGAAGGTACACAGCATCAGTTGTTTTGTTTTTTTGAATCAATAACACAGAGATTACACATTTAACAATATGTAATTGGTCTTATCTATTTGTCTGTTTTGAGGACGTCCTTCTGTCCCTCTAACATGGCCTCTCACTCTTTCATCGACAGAAACCTGTGAGAGTAAACCTTTGGAGAACATCGCCAGTCAAGACCAAAAGTTGGAGATTCAGGCATATGCTGACAAACTTGCCATTATTCAGGAGGTGCTGGCACGACGACACATGAAAGTGGCTTTTTTTGGAAGGTAGATTTTTGGAAGTTTTGCTCAAACTTTTCCTGATATCATTGTAACCCTTTCTGAAATCTACGGCGTCTCTCGTTGCTCTTGTTCTCAGAACGAGTAATGGTAAAAGCACAGTGATTAATGCCATGCTGAGAGACCGCGTGCTGCCCAGCGGGATAGGTCACACCACCAACTGCTTCCTGAGTGTGGAGGGCACAGACGAAGACAAGGCTTACCTCAAGACGGAAGGTTCAGATGAGGAGAAAAGCATAAAGGTAGGTGTTGTTTGGATGAGGATCCTGCCTTAAACCTTAAAAATATGTAATAAATAAATAATATGTAATTATATTTACTTTTACGTTACTTTTCACTCCTTAGACTGTAAACCAGCTCGCTCATGCACTCCACATGGACGAGACTCTGGACGCCGGCTGTCTGGTTCGTGTCTTTTGGCCAAAAACCAAGTGCGCGTTGTTACGAGACGACCTGGTTCTTGTGGACAGGTAACAGGATTTTAGGAGAGAAAAATGAATCATTCCCACTGTTTTAACGGATTTTAGGAGAGAAAAATGAATCATTACCAGTGGTGTTAAAATGTTAAAATCTATTTGATCTTTTCAGCCCCGGCACTGATGTCACATCACAGCTGGACTCTTGGATTGACAAGTTTTGTCTGGACGCTGACGTCTTTGTGCTGGTCGCCAACTCTGAATCTACTCTCATGAACACGGTAAGTTTTTAAACCATGTTTTGTTTCTGAAGTCCTAAAGACAAGACAGTGAATGTGCTGATTACAGATGAGGAGATGGAGCTGACAGTGTTTGAATCCAGCCTCACACAGGGCCCCCCTCCAGAACCCCCCGCCCCCCTCACTCTTGTTTCCGTCTGCTAAGGCATTCATGCAATGTGAGGCCTGGTGCACACAACTGTCACACAACTCTTCAACCTGCTGGCAGCTCTAAAAGGGGAAGCAAACCCACAGTCCTCACTGGAGTGTTTAATGGAAATGAAACTCTCAGATCCAGTGTTTCACATTTGTTTAATTTCTTTCACCAAACTGGAATTAAAGTTATTCTTGTGAAGAATAATAATAAAATTTAAGTCTGGATGGTGCGGACGATGCGTGTAATTTTACATATTTTTTTGGGATATTTTCACCTTTTAGGAAAAGCAGTTTTTTCACAAAGTAAACGAACGTCTGTCCAAACCAAATGTCTTCATCCTAAACAACCGCTGGGACGCTTCAGCAAACGAACCAGAATACATGGAGGACGTAAGTGAGCTCTCGTCCAGATCGAACATCAGCCAGGTTAAAAAAACTGAATAAAGCAACTACATAAACAATATTAAAACATTTTGTACTTTAAATGTTGTTCATTCATAGTCAACACTGAAATCACGATATCTTTTCTCATTTTCTTTCATTGACAATTAACACGGAAATATTCAGGTTTTTAAAGCACTCAATATAATGTTGTGGCTGTAATATTACAGTATATTGCGATATATTGTGTTGTTGCCTGTGTATCGTGATCCGTATCACATCACAAGATTGTTGTTTTCTATTGTGTTAATAATTTATTTTTGTTTGAACATTAAAGAATTCCTACCTGCTGAGTCTCTGACCCTCGCGTCTCCCTCCAGGTGAAAAAACAGCACACAGACCGCTGTGTCAACTTTCTGGTGGAGGAGCTGAAGGTGGTGGACCGTGAACAGGCCCCCAACCGCATTTTCTTTGTCTCTGCCAAGGAGGTGCTCAACTCTCGAATGCAGCGTGCACAGGGTATGCCTGAAACAGGTGAGGGGACTGAAAACAGACAGTTTTTACCTGCAGTGTATTTCAGAAATCATTTTGATGAACACAGGTGGTAGAAACTAGAAGTTTGTGAGGAGAGGCTGTAGCTCTGGTTTGAAGCTAAGGTCAGATGTTAAAGGTCACGTCAATTGAATTAAAATGCATTTTCATACCTTTTTGCATTGCTTTATTCAATAGGGGGCGCTCTAGCTGATGGCTTCCAGGAGAGGTTAATGGAGTTCAAAAGCTTTGAGAGGAGGTTTGAGGTTTGTATCTGAATCTAAAGAGAAAGATTTGCAGGAAATAATTTTAAATATTGATGGATGTTTGTCAGTAAGAATCCAGTCTTCACTCTGGACTTAAAAAAAAAAAAAGAAGAAAAAAAAGTTTCAGTCTCACAGTGGTGTAGACACAGACAGGCTCATTGAAAGCACCGTCCTTCAAATGGAACCACAGCCTGAACAGGATTTGTGTCAGAACTTTCTTATGTCAAAGCACTTGCAGTGACGTCCTGGAATCTCCAGGACCTCCAGGTCCACCGCTGTGCCTTTCCATCAACCTGAGTCTTCATTGCTGAAGTCTAGATTCACTTTGGCGAGGACATTCATTAGTTTTTGTTTTAGTTAAGTTCATCCTCATCATTTTTTTTTTAATTGTTGCTTTTTTGTTTGTCCTTTTTTTGGATTTACATCAAAAATATTGTGGTTAAAACAAATGCTTCACATTTTCACCCAAACTCTCTGAAAACAATCTTGTAAACTTGTAAAATCTACAGAAGAACAAAGGGGTGTGACCGTCACAATCATTTGGTACACACAGTACACACAGTACACACAGTACACACTCGTTAAAGTTCTCCTTAGAGAAAGGCTGAAGATCTCTGTAAAGGATTTCGTTCCAGCCAAACTTGTCACATCAGTGAATAAACTCTGACTCTTCTGCACAACTTTACTTTTGTTTTAGGTTTGATGTCTTTGTTTTCTTTTTGACTTGTTTTTCTTATTTTGCTGTGACTTCACCACTACGTTACTGTGACTTCCAAAATAAGGGCTGCGGGCTGCAAGATGCACACACTGCTGCTGTCCTTTCCTCTCCTGCGTTCCCTTTTTTTTTCCTTCTTCTATGTTATCAGTAGCAGGTGTCCATCTTGTCCACTGCTCCACCCTCCCGTCACTGTCACAGTAACGTGTGTTTTACGGCCTCGCAGGAGTGTATCTCGCAGTCAGCAGTGAAAACAAAGTTTGAGCAGCACACAATCAGGGCCAAGCAGATCACAGAAAAAGTCAAGAGCATCATGGATGACATTAACATCGAGGCGGCAGAGAAGCGGTGAGTGGAAGAGCTACTTCTCAGTTTTTCTGTTTAAGAGGCGACAGATGAATGTTCAGTTCTTTGTTGTAGAATTCAGACAGTTGATGCTTTAACTACGAAACCATGTTACACAAATTACTATAACAAAAGATTCCTTTAGTTTCATTCTGTTCTGTATTTGTGACTTTCTTCTTTCTGTCTGGACTTTAGAGTGGCGGCTCTGGAGGACAGAGAATATCAGATTGACCGACTGGAGTTTGTCAGAAATCAGCTCAACCTGCTGATGAATGAAATCAAACAAAAGATTAAGGCCCTCAGTGAAGACGTGGAGTCAAAGGTAACGTAGGTGACGTCACCCACATCCACTGAGGTTGTTGATCCAAAACCTCCGTACAGTAACCACAGAATATGTAAAAGACGAAAATCGGATATCAAACTCATGCCAGGTAAAAAATGTTCCTCGCTGTGGGAGAAATTAAAAAAAAAAATTTTCTATTAATTTGTTCTCCCCCATTGCAATAGATCAGTGTCCCCTTAGGGGGCGCCACCCCCTACTTTAAGAACAAAAATATACCTACGCATGTGTGTTGACATCGTTTCTAGTCACAGAAGGGAAATTATTAGTAATTTGTCGGAAACATCTCCTGATGGATTTGAATTGTACGTTTTCTTGTGTCTTGAATGAACTTTTTGAACGGTGAACGTGATTTTCCCAGGTGTCCGGTGCGATGGGGGATGAGATCTGCCGCCTCCATGTGATCGTGGATGAGTTCCGCTCCGACTTCCACCCCTCGCCTCAGGTCCTCAGACTCTACAAATCTGTGAGTAGACGTGGATCAAACACAGCTGCTCTGACGCAGTCCGACCGCTTCGTCTGCCTTTATCCGTTCGTGACGTCTTCGCGGTGTCGTTGACAGGAGCTGCTCACTCATGTGGAGAAAGGGATGGGGAAGAACCTGGCCTACCGCTGCTCAGACGCTGTGAACGCTTCAGTCCAGTCGTCTCAGAACTACATGATCGGTAATGTCCATCTTCATGTTCTCCTCCATTCTCTATTCTGCACATCCTTTTATTTATTTCATGTTGTTCATTTTCTATCCACCCTGAGTGACTGTCATGTCTCTGTGTTTTCTCCTCTCTCTCTCCTCTCTCTCTCCAGAGAGCATGCTCCCTCTGCTTCCGTCTTCTGTCCAGAGCAAAGTCAACATGCTGGTGCCCGGCAGAAAGTTTGACCTGAGTTACGATCTGAACTTCTCCACGCTCTGCAGCGACTTCCAGGAGAACATTGAGTTTCAGTTTTCCTTGGGCTGGACGGCGTTGGTCCACCGCTACCTCGGATCAGTCAATGCCCAGAGAGCGCTCAGACTGATGGACAACAAACTTCAGGTGTGAAGACTGTCTGGTCAGATCGACTACCGTCGTGACATTTTGTACCGACTACCACATTTCTTTCATTTTTATTCAGGCGTCTCGACCAGCCCTGCCCCCAGCGTCTACACCTTCTTCTGGACCTCCGTCCATCTGTCAGTCCAACAACGACACTGCTCTCATGACCCAGGAGGACCTGATGGTGATGATGGCCAACAACGTGGCTGCTCTGACGTCCCGCACCTCGATGACCGTCATCATCGCTGGAGGAGTCGTACGTTCTCTCCTCAGGCCTTAAACTCGTCACTGAAGAACAGCTTCACCAACTCCACAGTTAACTCCACCTCTACTGTGCTCTGTTTGAAGGTGTGGAGAACCATCGGCTGGAGGCTGATCGCTCTGTCGGCCTCCATGTACGGTTTGTTGTACCTGTACGAGAGACTCACCTGGACGACCAAGGCAAAAGAGCGCACGCTGAAACGGCAGTTTGTGGACTACGCCTCAGAGAAGCTGCAGCTCATCGTCAGCTTCACCGGCAGCAACTGCAGCCACCAGGTCCAACAGTAAGTCATCTGTGACAGAAACAGCCGGAATGTTCACTGACCGCTTCAGCAGTCTGATCTGAGGAGTCGCTGCAAGGAGATAAAGAGATGAAGTACCAGTGCCGTCAAAAGAGTTTGAATCTGATTATTGTCTGAATTATTGAACGGATGGTGCAGTAATTGGACCATGTGTCAACTTTGACAGCTGTAATTTCAGATGAGGATACACTCACCTCAAAGACTGAGCTGTTTCCTCTACAGAGGCCTGGGTCTCTCTGTAACGCTGTGGTGTCTGTGGTGTCTGTGTTGTCAGGGAGATGGCCGCGACCTTTGCCCGCCTCTGTCAGCAGGTGGACCAGACGCAGAAGGAGCTGGAGGCAGAAATCCGTCAGCTGACAGTGAAAATAGATCGACTGGAGACCGTCCAGAGTCGCTCCAAGAGCCTGAGGTTTGATTGGCTCCTTTTTTGTTTATTGGAGGGTGTAATAAAGGTCAGATGTTGGAATGATGCAGAAAGACGAGCACAAAAAAAACCCCCAAAAAGCGTGAACGGCTCCTGTGTTTCTTCTTCCTGCAGACATAAAGCCACAGAGCTGGAGCGGCAGCTGGAGGAGTTCACAAACCAGTACCTACAGCCTGGACACAGAAGACACTGAAGACACTGAAGACACCGATGTCCTCACCTCGCACTACATTACCCACAGTGCACTGACAGAAACTGCAGCGTTGGACCGCAGCACTGACCAAGTGCTGTTTTGATGTTCATCAGACAGAAGTTCAAAACTACAGTGTTTAAAATGTGAAAATCTTTGTCTGAATCTGTTTCTTTTTTTCATTTGTTCTTTTTAATGTGTATTTCCTTCAAATCTACTTTCTAAATTTCCAAGCCGAGTTTTTAAGTCTGCTTTAAACCCAGGCTCAGGAATACAACAAAACAAACAGTATTTTCTTGTCGTTCTCCGCTGCTGTGTTACAAAACAACAAATGAACTGTTATTAAAAAAAATTTAAAAAACCAAACACTTCTACCCTCGTTGAACATGGACTCAAGTTGGAGATGATCAAATCTGGATCGACGTGAAACTGTTGATCAGGTGCTTCTAAATGTTTGTTTTTCTTTCAGTTTTGTGGAGTAAATGAAGTTTGTGTTTCTGTTCAGAATCTACTGTGTCGTAACAAACGATTCAATCATTAAATCCATATATTTAATAATGAAAGGAAACTTTTCTGACCTGATGGACTTCTCACCTGTTCAGGACGCTGTGGACTCGTCCTCCATTTTCTACTGGACTCACCTGTAAACATGAAGGGATTTGGGAAACATTTCCTCGTGTCGCATTTTATTTATAAAACTTGTTATAAACTTGTCACGGGGCAGATAACAATAGACTTTTTGTAAAAGTTCTTGTTTTTCCTCTTGTGTATTGCTTGTTTGTAATAAACATTCAAAGAAGTCAAAAGTTAAATTCTGGGTTGTTGCTTCACACACTTTACTAAATCAAACCTTTTTCTTTTTTTTAAAATAAAAATCCAGTCAGTTGAACTAATCTGATTTTACATTTGTTTAAATAAACAATCAGTAAATCATTTGTTTTCTTACACTTTACAACTGTTAATGTTTGAGGGCGAAGCAGAGACGATCCCGGCAGTCACCAGGTGGGGGCGTAAAGAGTACTTCATACCATCGACTTGTATATTATATATACAGTATATATATATATATATGTGAAACGTAAACTCCAGGGACTGAACCAGGACCACACTGTGGATTAATAACAGTCTGTACAGTCACATCAAACATAAGGTTAAAATGTTAATAATAAGGTGAATTAAATCAGTCTGGAGTAAAAACTCTTGGTTAAAAGCTTTTTTTTTTTATTGGTTACAAGAACTCATGGCAACATATCAGAATAACCAAGCCACTGTACAAATACAAAAACAAGGTCTGGTTTGAAAAAGACTATAAAAATCATCCCATAGCTTGTCGTCCTAGTTTCACACACAACAACAAGTCCCTGCTCTCTGATTGGACGGCCAAGTTGTTGAGTCTAGCATCCCCTTTTTTTTCTAACGACCGCTGCCACACACGTGCGCTCTCTTCTTCTCTGTCACTGCAGTGACTTCAACAAACACCAGGTCAAAGGTCGTCGTTTTGATGCTTTTATTTTTTCCCTATAAACACGTAGAAATGGGACTGAATCCGACTGGACGTTGGCAGGAGAACAGGGCGGGCGGTGGACGGTCACTGAACTGTGCACAGGCACCGAGTGTTAACACACACACACACACACACACACACACACACACACACGTTTTTTGTTTGTTTTGTGAGAGCATCATATAGACATAACACAAACTCCAGCCCCTTAAACCTGAACCTTTCACAAATACATGACTAATCCTCATCCTAACTCTAATCTGACCCTACTTAATCCTAACGCAAAATTAAATCTTGAATTGCAAAATACCTTCTCAAAATGTCCCCAGAACAACAGTATTTTGTCCCAACACTTTAAGCTAGAACAACAGTATTTTGTCCCAACACTTGCTACACAAGCTACACCTGAACACACAACACACACACACACACACACACAGAAAGAAGACCCCGCCCAACAATTCACACTGTTGTTTTTTTAATAATCTACTAAGGACTTTGGTGTGTGTACGGTTTACACTGTTAATGGCACAAAGTGAGGAAACAGGTGAGACAGTTCAGAGGAACAGTTTGACAGAGCGGTCAGTGAGACCACGAAGACCACGATGACGACCGAAGACGACGTAGACCACGAAGACCACGAAGACGACCGAAGACCCAACCCAGAACACACATGGACTGTGTCTTTATAACATAGTTAGATGAACTTAGGCTCAAGGCAGTGTTGACTAAAGTAGGTTCACCATGTGGCCAACTCCCAGAACTGCACCATCAAGTCAAAGTAAGAGTTTATATATAAGAATATTGCTGGTCCTTTTAGCAACATGATTTGGGCAAAGTGAGTATTCTTACTTTACTGGACTATTTTTGAAGAGGCTGAGGCCAAGTGTGGGTCAGACGACCTGACACCTGGAGGAGCAGTCGTCTGTCAGTGAGTCTGTCAGTGAGTCTGTCAGTGAGTCTGTCAGTGACCAGACTACACTGGCAGAATCACACAAACTTACTTTACATTTACTCTACATCGTGTCCATCAGAGAGACCACGCCACCGTGTCAAACTGTTCCTTTAACAACCAACCGTCAACTCAAGGACATTTTAGGAAAACAAAAACACATCTTCACTGAAGAGCAGAATGATTTAAACAAGAGAAGATGTAAAAAAAAAAACAAAAAAAAAACTGTAGGTGGAGAAGGCTGGCACTGGTGAGAAAGTGAGTTCATGTTTAGTTTTTTTTTTTTACTGTTTAGTGAGTGAAGAACATTGGCACAAATAAGGAAGTAAAACACACACACACACACACACACACACACCTCAAAGATACTGTTTTCTTTTTCTCTGATTATTTTAATGCAGAGTCAGTTAGAATCAACTGGAACATGACTTTTTTTTTTTTTTTTTTTAAATGTTAAAGCCTTAGTCGACTCTACTGTAGGATGGCAGTTTGTCACAGATGTGACAGAATGTGCTAGAAAACAACCATCTCCCTCATGGAATAACATGTAAGAAGGATTAGTAAACAAAGAAAATATTTTTTTGTTTTATATATATGTACGTATATTTACTTTATGTCATGAATTGGCATCATAAGGCAGGATGAAGACACAGATCATATCTTTAAAAAAAAAAGCTGGACGTGTCCATCAACCAGTGAGTGTGATCAGAGAAGCAGCTCAATTGAGAACAAATCGAAACATTTAGGAATAAAAACTAATCTCTAACATCCATCACATCTCCCTAAACCTGGGGGGGGGGGGTTGTTGGGGTCCGGTGACCCAGGTTGACCTTTGGACAAGGTTCCATTTGGCACAAACAACATTCAATGGTTCAAACGACCGTACTCTGTCAGAGCCCAGGACTGGACTTCAACACTGACCTGTGGTTTGACATCTGTGACTGACAGTCTGTCAACATCATGTGAAGCACTGACACAGACCAACCAACCAGAGGAGAGCTCTAAAAACCGATGTCATAAAATATATAAGGTGCTTTGACAAAGTATTATAGATTAAAGATGTCAATTAGCATTTAATACTAAGGAGAGAGTCACGTTATTATACTGTAAAAAGGTGTTTCTGCAAACACACATCCTGGTGTCAATAATGGTAAAAACAAACACAAAAGAAACACCTATATTTGAAAAAGCCTCAGGTGAGTTTTTCCCTTAATATTCTTTGTTTGTTAAGAATGTTAAGAATATTTAAAACAAATTGCTTTAAGTGTTAACCACGACACCAGTTCAGCTCCAACTTCCTGTAGACTTTTAGTGAAATCTAACAGTTCTGGTTCATGGTGGTAGAAAACAAACTGCTGTAAGTGTTAACCACAATATTCAAAAAAGAGGAGAAAAAAAAAGATCACAGTAAACCTAAGACAAAAGTCGGGATTTAAAAGTGACTCTTTCTAAATGTTGCCACAAGAGGGCAGCGTCTCGTCTTGTCAAAAACAAACAATATTTGAGACTTTAAAGTCACTACTTACATGGAAGCAACACATTTTACCCACCGCCTGCACCACACACACACACACACACACACACCATCACACACACACGTACTGTATGAATGAGAAGAGTGAGATCAGAACAGACAAACACAGGTTTTTGTTTCGTCTCTTCTGCTACTACTGTTGGCAGATTTCTGTTCTGTTTGTTTCTAAGTCGTCGCTGTTTCAATGAGTCAAAATGAACTTTTTTTTTCCTGTGTTGAATGTACTTCTAAAATCACCAAAAAAAAAAAGTTAAAGGTAAAAACCAGAAACTGCACATTATATATGCATATATGACGCATATATATATACACACATAATGCTATACATATATATATACCGTCTTCATATTTACATTGACATATTAAACACTGATCTCACCTGTTGTAGCTCCTGTTGTAACAGACGCTCCTACCTGCTGCGGCCCAACCGTGTCCCCGTCTTTGACGGCGTCTAAATGTGACTGTTTTAAACTGCAGGGTTCTCATGTCTGTGGCTGAGTGGAAAAAAATCACTTTCAAAGGTAGAAAGAGTCGACGCGTTATCACAGGAGGCCGAGAGTGAGGAGGATGTTTGGCTGACACCGTGACACACCCCTCAGAGCTGGGAGACGATGGGTGAGTCTGAGGGGGAGGAGGGGTCAGCGGGCAGAGATCCAGTACAGCAGGGAGGGGTTTCTTTAATTCCAGATTCGCAGGAAACTGTCCCAGGAGCCCGTGGCCACGGCCATGCCGTCTTCTGTCACTCCTAAACAGCTGACTCTGTTGTCATGGCCCGCCAGCACACCTGGAGGAACAGGAGAGCAGCTCAAGTTAGAGGGTTTGACCAGTGGGTCTGACCAGTGGGTTTGACCAGTGGGTCCAGGGTGTTCTTGTGGAGCCCTGGCATCGACTCATTTCATTAGTTTACCTCGTGCCTACAAACAAAGCGTCACTGAGAATTAATTAGAAGGAACTCATAAATTACAACTAGTATTTAAATAACTGCGGCTCAGTTACTGTCGTCAGTTGAAGAGTTTTACTGCAGTTGATCATCAAGATTTGACGTTTGACGTTCTACGTTGGATATCTAGATAGTTTCTATCTGAAGAAGAAGAATGTCACGCAACCAGTGACTGCTGTTCTAGTTCTCTGCTGTCGACTCAACCACTACAGTTGAACAAAGGTCAAGTGTCACCGCCATCTGAAAACCACTGCCTCAAGAGGGAGAAGAAAAAAAACAAAAACAACCCACTGGTAAAAACATGCAGTTTTTAACATGACTGAAAATGTAAAGAGAATCCACCAAACAACGTTCAGTCCAGAAGTCATTTTCCTTGGTTCTGCCTCCTGGTGGTCACACACACACCTGCACGCTCTCCTTTCAGAGTGTCCCAGACGTTGCAGTTAAAGTCATCGTAGCCGGCCAGCAGCAGGCGCCCACTCTTGGAGAACGCCACAGAGGTGATGCCGCATATGATGTTGTCGTGGCTGTACATCATCAGCTCCTGGTCTGCACGCAGGTCAAACAGCCTGCAGGTGGCGTCGTCTGAGCCTGTGCCAAAGGCATTTCCGTTTGGGAAAAACTGTAGAAGGGAACGATTTCAGATCAGAGAGAAGAAAAGTTCAGGTTATTTATTGTGTCGACGTCTGTATGAAGTACAGTCTGTCGTTTGTTTTTTTATTTCCTCATCAAACGTCTCCAACGTCTTCACGTCTCTGAGCAGAACTCACACAGACGGCGTTGATGTCGGACACGTGGCCGGTGAAGGACTGTTGGCACATGCCGTCGCGGATGTCCCACAGTTTGGAGGTGGCGTCGCAGGCTCCGGACACGAACGTTCTGGAATCAGGGCTTAGAGACAAACTCATCACGTCTCCTGTGTGACCGGTGAAGCTGGTGGCCTGCTGTCCCGTCTCTATATCCCACAATGCACTGCAAGAAGGGAGGTGAAGTTGGCTCACTGAAAACCCCCTGGACTGTGCAGCGTCAGACAGAGTCATTAAGAAGGTGGTAAATATTTTCTTTGGAGCGAACAGAAACCACCGTCGTCACTCACCAGGTCGTGTCTCCAGAGCTGGTCAGGATTTGGTTGTCGTCCAAGAAACGACAGCACGACAAATAACCTGCACACACACACACACACACACACCGGTTCCACATCAGGTATGGGTTGGAACAGATTATATCTCAAATACAGGAACTGGTTCTGAGGACACTAGTTAGAACTGATTCAACAAGAATTCACTGTCTCCAGAATTCAAGCACATAAAAATACGACTTAGTCGATCCTGCTGACGGTTTAATTCAGGTCGGATGTCATTTATGTCAACATTTTTTGGTTTGGATTGAACGGTTTAAAAAACTACTGAAGTAGTACTGAAGTACACATACAGTACTTTTCACCATGTTTCACAACCAATTCAGTTTTCTTTGAAAATTAAAAATCACAAGTAGAAACAGCTGAAAACAGAAGATTTGAAGAATTCTGCCGTTTTAAATTTTTGGACAATTTTCTGCAATTGAACGAAATAAATGAAGATTGAAGTCATTAGTAAAAGTGACTGATGGCTCAAATGTTTTAATAATTATCAGATGCAGCTTTTATGATCACGCACTTTACATGGAAACTATTATTATTATTATTGTTACTCTGACGTGTGACCATGAGTAAACTGGAATGCAGTTTTGTAATAATTAGGTGCACTTCTGTTTTTTATTTAATTTATTTATTTGATTTTTTCTCTGATTTCATGATCTCTGACCTGTGTGTCCAGGCAGCTCTCGGGTGACGCGCACGTTGCCTTCGCGGGTCTTCAGGCTGTATATAGAGCAGATGTTGTCCAGGCCTCCGCAGGCCACGTAGTTCCCAGAGGGGGCGTAGGCACATGTCATGACCCAAGAAGAGCGCAGTGGAATGGCATGCATCTGGAAAGAAGAGGAGGAAACGTCAGCCCTTCATTCAGTCGAGAAAAGTTTTCACTTTGTCCTTAAAAACTTCTCAACGTGTTTTAAAACTGGGGTTCATGTAAAAATGTTGAGACACAAATTGAAAGTTCATCCATTCTCAAAATCCCTAAGTGGATGTTGCAATTCCTCCGAAAACTTTAGGGAATCCCAGAAACAACGATGATGTCATTTCTGGTCAGACCTGATATTTGATTTTTTTTTTTTTCATGTTAGAAATAGTCTGAGGAACCACACAGACTAGCTGCAGGTAGGAGAACTGCAGGCTCCACTGCACCACCGTCACAGCTGTTGTGTTTCAGAGTCCTGCACTAACTGTAACATTAAATACCTGTAAGTCCGACCCATCAAAACAGCGGCTCTCAGCTCTCACCTTATTGGTCGTGTAGCTGTCCCAGATGATGAGTTTTCCATCCTGCGAGGCGCTGACAAGACACCTGCAGACAAACACCAGCAGCTTTACTGGACACGTCACACAACAGTTTGTCAAACAAACGACCACACAACAGACGCTGGAGTTTCATTCATAACAAGACGCCCCTCCCCCCCCCACAAAAAAAAATGTACCTGCCTCCCCCACTGCTTAGTCTTCTCTGTTACTTTTGAATTTCAGAGGTTTACTTTAAATACTTCAGTTCTGCTGACGTGGACTGGAGGAGCTCGAGGTTTAAAGGGTCAAACTGACAAAAGAGGAATCGACGACGGCGGGAAACGACGGAGAGGATGTAAAGTTAGAAAAGAAGACGATGTGAGAACAGCTGGAGCTCTTCCCCCTCTCCCACAGACAGGAAGTAGTTTGACGGTGCTGTGCCACCAGCAGGAGGACAGACGTGTATCTCTAAATGTCACTGTTTGTATACAAAATAAACACTGCTGATCTGCAGAGGTGAGACAGAGGGCGCTACAACAGTCGCACCTTCACACGTCACCGTATTTAAAAGAAGAATCTGGATTAAAACGGTGGGAAAAACCACAGGTTTGATCCACGACGTAAAGAATGTTCGGCTTTGTTTGTTTAAGCTGCTAAAATAAAAGCACAGGTTTTATCACATTTGCAAAAATAAATAAATACAATTAAGCAAACAACATAGTTTGGTGTCATACAAGCCCACAAGACAAGTGTGTACCTTCAATCACCAAATACTTCAGGTCAGTTTCTTTCAGGACACTGCATGCAAAACAAAGGTGCAGTAAAAAAGGATGCAAAACTGAGTGGGAGAAGTTAAAAAGGCAGTTTGTATCTTTAAAAAAGAATGAGAAAAATAAAGTGTTCAATCGAGGCAGATTTTTCAAACTGCCCCTTTAACAAAGTGCTGTTAATAGACGGCGGTCCATCTCTGTGATTGCAGAACCACGGTACCACGTGGACGGTGGTTCTATAAGCACGAGGCTGAGTAGTAGCAGTGACGGGGGGGAGGGGGGTTATAGTCACTTATGGTGAGATTAGTTGTATTAGTAGAAGAGTTGTTGTAGGAGTAAAAGTAGTAGAAATAGAAGTAAAAGTAGTAGTAGTAGTAGTGGTAGTAATAGTAGTAGTAGTAGTAGTGGTGCTGGTAGACGTGCTGGTAGAAAAGTGTCCCACACCTGGGACTGCCTTCACTGCCCAGTGAATTGCATTAAAAGACAGATGGACAGAGAGAAGATCAAGAGGAACACAGACATGTTAAAGACACACAGAGAGAAAAAAACACTGACACAATAATAGTAAAAGTTTGTCATTTGACGTTTGACGTCCGTCTCTGACGGACAGCAGCTCCAAACAGCTAATCAAACGTCATCTTTTTAAACTAGTATTCAAATCATTTCACAGCAGTAAACCTGCAGCTGCATCAGTAAAAACACCAACACGTCAGTGGTTCGATCCTTTGTCCCACTACCTGGAGTCGCTCCCCCAGTGCATTGCATAGATCTTGGCCAGGTGGCCCCGGAGAGTGCGTCTCGTCCGCATCTGTATCCGGCCCACAGAGTCCAGACCTGCTGTGATCTGTCAAACACAGGAAGAGGAATCAGCAGCAGCAGCAGCAGCAGCAGCAACAGCAGCAGCAGCAGCAGCTGCCTCTGTCTGACATCAGGCCGCTGCAGGTGGTCACCCAAAACTGGGGTAAATACTGAGGAGATCAGAGAAGTACCTGTGACAGAGTGGAGTCGCTACAGGCCTTCCTGGCATCCTGAAACAAACAGACAGAACGAGTCAGAGAGTGAGCTGTCGCTGCTGCAGGCGTCCAGAACAACAACTCTTCAATGGTTCAAGTTTCTACAGTTTAGTCTAAAACACACAAAGAAGCTGCTGATGTTCACGTGTCATTCCTAGAATGCAATTCCTTCTGTGTGTGTGTGTGTGTGTGTGTGTGATTGACAGGTCATCTGTCAAATGCGTCACCGTCTCAGCGGGATCTGGTTGAGTCACAGCTCACGGTGATGGACGTACACACACACACACACACACACACACGACCGTCACAGTAAATAAACACGCCACACCAACGGCGGTGATGTCATACCCGGATCTGATTGCGTAGCTGCTCGGCTTCCTGACGCAGCTGCTCCAGTTCACTCATTGTCTCTTTGTGGTGAGTTCAGGGTCACACTCTGCTGCCAAGAGTCCCTGACCTGGGCAAAAGCACGTGGCTACACACACACACACTCACACACACACACACACTCACAGGCTCCACCAGTTGATACCTGCAGAACACAGACACACAGATATGATTAT